ATTTTATTTTTTTTCGCTCTTTTATTTTTTTTTAAATCGGTCATAAATTTCAAATTTATAATTTTCTCAAAGAAGCAACATTTTAAGGCAACCAGAATCACTGAAAAGATAAATCTGGCAAGTACCGCAACAAAAATCCTGCTGTAATAATCTTTTAGATAGACACAATTAATGACAAATATTTTTATAGATTCCTTGAAAAATATTCCACCAAATAATGTTGCACCTGTGGCATTAGTAGTAGTACTGCAATTTTTTATTTCTATCAAAAAATTTCTCCGAAGTTAGAAAGTAACAGGCAAGGGTCAAACCTCTCTTAAGTGCTTAAAAGGGTAATTTCGATAATTGGGCGAACTTGTTTGTGAAAATTCGCCAACCCTATATGTCGTCTCGATTTACCTGGATGGGTTTAAAGAGTGATTGATGTACATATTTACCCAGCTCCAGGGTGAAAAGTAAAAGGGTAAAATGACTTATATGTTAGTCTGTTGCTAGCTAGATACATATATAATTTTTACCAGTAGATAAATTCAGGCGACATATAGAGGGTGGGCAGAAAAATTAAAAACGTGAAAAAATAAGAGGGTAAAGAGTGTTACAACAGGTCGCAAACAAAATATTTATTTAAGGAAAAAAAATAACGCAAACAAATTATATAAACTTTTGTAATATAAAAATATATTTTTATTTACAAAATATGACTAATGTAACACACAAAATATGACNAAAAATTAGAAAATGAAAAGAATAAGAGAAATAAAAAGAGGGGTGTTATGAGTTATGACATTGTCAGGGGGTCAGAAATAAAGCAGGAAAAATGAATCTGGGTGGCATTGACCGTGGCGTAGGCTTTGTTATGGGTATTTAATTTACCTGGCTGTAACAATAGTACAATACAGTAGCTAATGCTATTACGTACTTTTTCATTAGGCTGGCTCATAACTATAACTAAATAAATAAATAAATGAATCAATTCGTGGAAGATATTTAAATTAGTTACTTTTTTTTTTATTTATATTGTAAATATATTTGTATTTGTTACTTTTATTGATATGTGTTTTCGTTGGATTGTTTTATAAATATGAAAATCTTGAATTGTATACTGTTCATCGGGCCTGAGCCAGCGCCGGCAATGAGCCTTGCATGAAAGCCCAACATTTTGGGCTAAAAAGATTGAGATCAAACTCTTCTGAAATTAAGTGCCAGGCCCAGAACTGTTTCTCCTCCCCAATATCATAAGGATAGAATAAATATTGACCAGTAACAAAAGTAAAGCCATCGTTTTAGGTTATTTTACGTTTTTTCTAGTTTTTTTTGCTAGTTTACGTAATTTTATGTCAATTTGGTGTTTTTTGTATTTTATTTCACTTTTTATGTTGTATTTTGTACGAAAACACGTTTCAGAAGTCAACGAGAGATCCACTGAAAAGTGCCAGAATTTCGACCAAACGTGTGTGTGTTTTCACTCAGCCATTGTCCAGCTCGCGTGCCCGTGAACGCGTGCCCCAAAACTCACAACCTAGCGCACTTGGAAAACATGTCTCAGTTCGCGCCCGCAAAATTCGTCTTGCTTGCCTCGCGAACTTTTTCTAGGAGACGCACGCGAACACACCCACACTACATCACAAACTCGCGGTTGAACGAGATTCCAAAAGTTCCCCACAAGTGTTCTTCGTGCCTCTCTTGCCGAACTCGGGGCCTGAGTGAGATTCTCGGTTGCCCCGTGAGTCACCAACTAAATGTATGTGTTTTTAGTGCGTGTACTAGCAATAATATTTTTAAAAAAATCTTTACGTTTTTAGGGAGATTACCTCATTTTCTAAATTTTTCTTTTTAGTTTCTTTCCTTCTCTCTCTCTTTGTAATTTTCCTCTTTGGGAGACTTAAGGGCTCCAAGACCCTACTAAATATGTGTGTTTTTAGTGCGTATACTAGCAATAGTATTTAAACAATTTTTATTTAAATTTTTAGGGAGATCACCTCGTTTTTTAAATTTTTGTTCTTAGACTCTCTCTCTCTCTCTCTAATATTATTTCCCCTTAAGAGACTTAAGGGCTCCAAGACCCTTATTGTTTTATTTCTTCGTTAAGATTGGAACTTTTCCGATTTATATCTACTTGTGGATGCGACTTGAGACTTGAAGGCAAAGTTTAAGGTTTAAGATTTCGGAAGTTATCTTGACTCTACTTAGTTATATTTTTGAGGTATTTTCGTGGGTAAAGTTGGGAACTTCCATGAGTAGATAAACTATCATCCTCGGAGGATATGGAGTGGTTCGTATATTTTTGTGCTTATCTTTGTGTGATTTATATGGTGAGTCGGGTTAATTTTGGCTCTTATTTGTAGGGGTACACAAAATATAGTTAACCGATCCAAACCGATGAAGCCGAAAATTCGGTTCGTACCAAAATCCAAACCAAATATTTGCTTCAGTTTTCGGTTTATGTTTTCTTGAATCTGCACAAAATCTTAAATCACATTTATCGGTGTGAACTATCTCAAGAGGACTGGTGTATCAAGTGACCATTTAATATGGTGCTTCTGTCACTTTTAATTTTAACATGATTTTCATATTTGTTATATGAATCAATTCTAGATTCGCCAACTTAGAGTTAAAGTTCATAAGTCTTAATATATCATGCCATAAATTAAAGCACTCTAATAAATAAGACAAACTTATTTATATCCTTCGTCGAACAATAGATTTACAATTGATACAATAATTGTAAAATGGACTTTATTAAGGTCTACTTATGCTAAGAGTACATCATATTTTGACGTAACATATTTGTCGATAATCATGAACGAATCTAAATCCAGTCTTACTCAATCAATGGTCTGAAAGCTAGATTTTAATGAATGTGTTGGGCATGAAGAACATCCACAATCTCCATTATTCGTTCTTAGAACACCCCTTCTCGGGTTTTTTCAACACTTGAGAAGTCGAGGAATTTCACAAATAAATCCTTTCGTAGTTAGGGTTGTAAGACAACATTTATAAGTACCTATAGCTCAAGTGGCTCTTGTTCTTATCCACAACAAACGTAGAATTTTAATTAACTATGTACTCAAACCACGACGAAAATATCGAGCCCTGGCAAGTCTTATCCTGTACTCGGATTTGTCACTATCGTAACAATATCCCTTGGATTTCTTGGCATTCAATCTTGGTTTTCCATGAAAAGCATTTTTACGCTTCATATTCGAGCTCAGCTCGACGAAACTTGCCTTAGCTTCAATCTCGCTCCATTTGACCAATATTTTGGATTTTTAATTATTTTTTTCTATTCGAAGACTAACTACCAAATCCTCGAGTTTCATCTCTTTCTGTTTTTGCACGAGATAACTCTTGAAGTCCTTCCACAAAGGAAGAAACTTTTCAACAATAACCGCCACTTGAAAGGCTTCGTTCACAATGAATCCCTCGGACAATAAATCGTGAAAAATGATTTGAATCTTTTGTACTTGGTGTCAACCATCAAGTACTTTAAGATTTGCCGACGAAAAATTTCGTTATCCCTGCATCTTATGTCTCGTACTTCACCTCCAATGTATTCCATAACTCGTTGGGCATCTTAACTGGATTATACACATTATAAAGTGTGTCGTCTAGTCTGTTAAGTATGATATTTCTGCATAAAAAATAATTTTGATGCCAAACATCCGAGGTCGTACACTTTTGGACATCGGTCTCACTTTCAAGGACGATCAAAGGGTCCTCCGAATAAAATGAGATAGGGAGAGAGCTGTGAAGTAAAAAAACATCTTTTGCTGTCACCTCTTGAAATCAGAGCTATTGAACTTCGGCGGTCTGTAGTCTTGGATGGGAGCGGCTACCATCGGGGTGAATGGATTAGTAGTCGGTGGAATGATTGGTTGAGCACTTGAAGAAGACGTTTGGTTTCCTTCATTTGTTATCTTATGAACTCACAAAAATTTCGTCTTAAGATTGTAGATATTGTGTATGTGAATATCAAGGAGATGTCTTAAGAAGAATGAAGAAAACAAAAGCAAAAGCAAAATCAAAGTCGAGACACGTAATAGTTGTGTTCTCTCTAAAACAAAATTCTCCCTTAAAATACCCATGATTAACGGCAAAATCCTCCAAGATAAACGATTTTTTATTTGTATATAGCGGTACTTCAAATATACAAGCTTTCGACAAACAATATTATTGTTTGTAACCGTAAAATCGACACAAAATCAATTTTTTTTTTAAACTCCCACAACCAAACAATCCTTCAATCTTCATGGTGTCTTAATTTTTTTTTAAACTCCCACAACCAAACAATCCTTCAATCTTCATGGTGTCTTGAACAACATGCTAGACCCATTTTTATTTATTTATTTATTTTTCACTCAAGCCATGTCATTTAAATCCAACACACTACAATAATATCAAGAAAATTACAAAAGTCCACAAGTAATACACAGCAAAGGGTTGGAGCCCATTTCCTCAATAGCAAACTAATTAATGATAAACAATATGCAACATATATGGTCTAAAATACGGCCCATTTCCTCAATAAGAAACTGATGAATGATAAACAATTTAAAACACACATAGTCTAAAATACAGAGAGTTGAAACTCAGATACACATTTTATCAGATGATCTTGATGATCCCTTATGTACAAACCCTCCAAAGCCCTTGCCGTCAACTCCATTTACACACCCTCCACCAAAAGAAAAACGTACAAACGGAGAAAAAAACAGCGTTAAAATCGAACCTGCACAGACGGACGGACGGACATTAGCGGTTTCATTTTCCGGCAACTCTGCAACTCTACCAACACAGACCATCGATAAAAATGAGAACATCCCGGCCCATCGTTTCACCTCATTACAACTTCTTTTTTCCAATCAAACTATGATCTCACGAACACGCATACAGAATAATATTACGTACTCGCGCCGCCTAGACAGATCATACACGTTCGTTGTCTCATTTCCAACACTGCATAACACAATCTAAAATAAACCCGAGTTTTCGCAAAAGAGCTAATGGAACTTAAAGCTAACATTGCACCCTTTCGAATTCGCCCGCCTCAGCATGCATTTTTCTTGACCGACCGGCGTCGATGGCGACGGCGGCGTCTTCGCCGCCGCCGCCGCGTCCGCAGGGAACGACTCGCTCCGCCTTAGATTCATCGACGGGCACTTCAAAATCCCTTTTATCCGCCGCTTCTTCTCCTCCCCTTCTCCGCCGCCGCTCTCCTTTTCGAAAACGCCGTCTCGCGGAGTCCACTCTCCCGACTGCACCTCCGCGTTCACGAGCATTTCCACAATCGCCCCATCGTCGCGACACTCCTCGTTTTTTTCTTCGAGCGCGCGGCTGATGTCATCATCGTCGTCGCGCTTCTTCCGGTGGTGGATGACTTTCGGGAGCTTGAACCACCCGTCGGCGAGGAGATGGAGGGAGTTCAAGTTCTTGCGAAACGAGCTCTTTTTCGAGACGTAATCCGATTTTTTCGTGTCCTTAGCACCCACGAGGCCCATCGAAATCACGGTGGTGATGAAGAGTTGGCAAATCGCGCACTTGATTTGTTCGTGACGCTCGAAGGACGAGGCCTCGGTTAGCCCGATCATGCGCTTGATGCCGAGGACCTTGCGCGCGAGCTCGTCGAGCTCGGATTTTCGGTATTTTGGATCCTTGAGGATTTTCGAAGCTAGGTAACCGATGTCGGACTCGTTACGGGTGAGGCCGAGCTCGTCGAACGGGAAGAGGTCCGACTTTTCGGGGATTCCGAAGCACACGACGTGGATTCGTTTGTCGGCGAGGAATTTGTGGATTCCGGCCGGGAGGGACTCGCCGGCGGCGAACCGGAGGATGACGCAGCCCATACCGAAACAGAGGAGGAGGAGGATGATGGACGGGTCGCGGGGGTGGGCCATGACGTCGAGGCCCACGATGGGTCGGCCGGCCCAATCGTCGCCTTCAGGGAAGAGAAAGCCCACCTTGCAAAGGGATTCAAAATCTTTGGTCTTGAAGGTGATCCCTTCAAGCTTGACCTCGAAACGGTCCGTTCTCAAGTACACGGTCCCAGCCATAGCGGATTTTTCTGCCGTTTTATCGAAGGAAAAGGAAAAATATACTAAATAAAATTTAAAAAAAAAAAAATTAATAGAGTAGAATGATTTTGTGTCTCAACATGGCACAGAGTGTTGCTTCATGGAAGGTGGAGAACGAGATGAGCCATTGTTGAGGGCCATGGAGGATTTCGAGTTTTGACAAAAGAGAGAAAGGCAGAAAGATTTGTGTGGAAAGCCTATTTTGCCATATTAGAGAGAAAAAAGGGGGAGGAAGCTAATGGATACACTTGATTCAAGCCTATTTAAGGAATGATGAGCATGCATCACAACAGAGTTGTTTGTTTGTTCTCAGGACATCAGAGAAACTAACTGTGTTTTAATGTATGGTCAATTGAATTTGGGGTTGTTAGTGAATGTAGTAGCAACTTTTAAGATAATTGAGGCTTTTTGTAGTTTGTTTTGGCCTAAAACAGTGGAGATGGAAACGCATGGCGTCCACGTGAACATATAGAAAGGAACGAATGTGCATATTGGGGAAGTCTGATTAGTACATGTTTCGATTCTTTCAAGTGTTAAATCCATGTTGTATGTATTATGGTCTGTTGCTTATAAGTTATATAATATAATTAATGACAACAAACAAAAATGAAAGCCAATTAGTTAAAAGGAATGCCATGAAAGTATAAGAAAAAATTAGCTTTGTACCTATTTTAAGGTTCCATTTTTTTTTTTTTTTTTTGNTTGGAGAATGAGAAATTAATTCTATGTTGTTTATATAAAAATAAATGAATTTTAGTAGCTCAAAAATTGGTTAGTCAGAAATAGACATTTTCGGATCACGAAAATGACCATAAATTGCATGTGGGTTAGTGCAGAAAAATGGTCCAATCGTGGAGCGACGTCCCAAATTTTGAAGAGCGCAACTAAGCCACTGGCAGACCCTAGTCACACCTCATCGGCTACCAAGAGCTGCTGGCTAGATTGGATGTGTTTGTTTTCATCTAAGAGCATCTATAATGCATTGCGCCTAATTTTGCATATGTGGCATGTAAATAAACCCAAATCTTGAATAACATAGATAAAACGATGTAAAATTAACAAAATTCACTCAAATGCAAAGAGACTAGGTCTCTACTTGGGTCTAAAATGGACTTAAGGGGAGACCGGGTCTCTTTTTTCTGGCTGCCACATCAGCAGGACCCAATTTATTTCTTAGGTGGCATATAATTTTTTGGGATTGAACCCAAAGCATTGTGGATGCTCTAAACTCATTTGGCAATGTGTCTTTTGACCATTAAGAGGGTGCTTGGATATAAATCATATCCTATCATTTTAACTCAAAATCTAACTCAACCAAACCCTCTCCAATGTTATCAATATAATTAAACAATCATTCTCACACGTCACACTAATTTTCATTCACTATCTACCAACTCACACAATTTTAACTATCCATCACTTCCTATTACCCATCTCTCATTTTATTACATCAACTTTAATAATTTTATTTTAAATATTATTTTAATACAAACTCAAATCCCACTCAAACCTAACCTAACCAACTTTTTCAAAATTAACTCAGTTAACCAAAAAATCCAATCAAAACTCAAATTGATTTATATCCAATCTACCCCTAAACCTCCTCAAGATATTCACCTACATCTATTTATGAATACCCTGTTGTGCATGAATCATTCAAGATGTCACATGGAATTCACCTGAGTTAGGTATGATCTTTAGTCCAAATATGATATAAGCTATCTCAAGTGCAAAATCGATATCATATTGTTGAGGTATGCTAACAATTCAGAAAGGTCACCGGCTTATATAGGGATTATAACGACACTTGATAACCTGGACAGTCATTGGGGTAACCTGGAAAGCTTTTAGCCGTCTGTCGGCTTTGACTGATTTGATGAAGGGTATGTTGGGCATGTCCGCATAATAGATTTGAATTAACTCTGCCAGTCCTCTTTAAGATCATCTGCATAAAGTAGTTTAGAAATGGTCATCTGAGTTTAGTCATGATTGTAATTTACTAATTAAATTTGTCTTTCCATTTACAAGACGATTTGTTTGCTGTTGCAGAGTTCACCTTGACTCAGAAGCAAGTATTTCGTAACTTGTGACTTGTGACATCTGTTTCATACTGCACTTGTTCTCTATCTTCTGATATAATGCTCTCTCCCTCTCCAGAAAAACAAGGAAAATCTTTGTCTGCTGAACAAATATCTAAGCTACAAGAGCTTCTTTCTAGTAAAAAGCTAATACTCTAGGCAGCATCACAAGCGCATGATTACACCAGAGTAGCAAATAACATGCATACAAATTTCACAAAGCCAAATCAAGCACAAAATGATTAAGAGTGATTAACGTAAATTATGCTAAAGATAAAAAATCACGAATATGTGCCAATAAAATCCTAAACGACTTCATCTAGCTTACATTACCAAGGTTCGCACAGAAGTAAAACAAATTACAGGATAAAAAAAAAAGTACATTAAGAGGAACTAACATAAAGCAAGCTAAAGAGAAGAAGCACATAAAGACGAGCCAAGGTTTCCTCATCATGCTCGAATTTCCAAGGCTGAGTTGGGGTTGTGAAGCAGTTCACGGCCATGCACTCTCAATCGGTAGATGCATGTATATAAAGCACTCCCATGATTGGATGTAACATCAAGCCTGATAGTGTCAACAAGATTCGAGGTGTCTGCCTTTACTTCAAAAGTTTGAGCATTGCTTTTCTCAAGATCATAGGCGAACTCAGCTAAGAGAATCATCTTTGAACTATGAACTTCCAAATCAGATGAATATTCTCCTTGCATCCATCCAGACACTCTACAGTGCTTGGGAGCACTGGACCTATCATAGGCCACACTCTGTTCATAGTAAAGCATACAAAATTGAGAATCTTCACGACAATATAGCATTCGCATGGTGATTTGATTTTAGGAAAATGATTATTCGAAGTTTGAATTCAGCCAATTTTCACAACCTAGGGAACAAACGTGCAGCAGCTATTGCTAAGACCTTGAAACAACTAGAAAACCAAATTAGTTGAAAAAATCAGTGCCTACACTTCAAAATTGAAATGAAATACTCGCTTCAGGACCAGGTAAATAAACAGAGAAAGATTGTTACAACTTACAATCATACTTCTTCCAATAACAATCTTTTGCAACACCCCTTCCCAAAGCCCACCACACATTTATGTGCAATCCTCACATCAAAAGACAGCCATACAAAGGCAACACAAAATAAGGCAAAATATAAAAATATCATTTAAAGAAGGAGGCACATAAAACTTTCCCCAATTCATGAACCAATCGAGTAACCACAACAAAAAGAAGCACAGCCAGTAATACATATGTCCAAGCTACACTTCGCTGAAGTAACATAATACAACAAACAGAGGCAAAATGTTAACCAATCCCACACTGTTAATCGAACTCTATGACAAGCACGATAACTGAGAGAACATGTAAAATTGAAAAAATGAAGAATCAAATGGTTATACCTTATGAACATGTTCGAGAGTCACTGCTTCGGGTATAATGGCAGTCCTGAGTCTTATCTCAACAAAACCATTCTGCCCTTTAAGAGGAAAACAACGTCCAGGCTCTCCAAAGCTCGGTTGAATCATATTCTCAGCTTCTGCACTCACCGTATTACGACTCTTGAACCAACTCGCACTTGTACCAAGTCCCACACCACCATATGGCTCAGAATGCCTCACTACCTTTGCCCCTCCTGATGCCAATGCAAAATCCACCATTCCCAACCCATCAGAAGCATGCTTTTCAATTTCCTTCTCCACAATCTCCCGTGCATAATTCTTTACATCGTCCAAACTAACCTCACTAAAATCACCAGCACTGCCTTTGTTCCTGTCCGTTTTAAATTTCTCAAAAAAGTCACCAAACTCTTCCTTTGAAAGCAGATTCTTGCTCCCATATTCATCCATAAACTTTTCAAAAACATCATTCCGTGCACCCAGAGCCTTCAACATTAAGTCCAGTTCGTCCCCCTTCTTCTCGATTTTCTCATCAAATTCCTTTCTAACTGTGCTAATCCCATCCTCAAACTTCTGATCAACCACATGCAACTGTATCTGCATCGCCTTCATTGTCGTCTTAACAAACTTCTCCATCTCGGAGAATTTTCCCTCGAAATCCCCTGAAATTGCCGCTATATCCTTGGCATCGCGATCAGAATTCATGACCACCCACCGAGCCATCTGAACGAAACCCAGTGAGACTACCATCAATGCCAGAATCCTAGTGAGAATGCGGATCACTGTGAGCCATCTCGCCCTTGCTTGCTTCCTGGAAGGAGCGCCCTTCCTCGTCGGGATTTGAGCCTGTGCTTTCGTAGCATTCCTCAGAACCGCGGCGCCAGTGTTACCGGCAGTGAGTCGATCTTCTCTATTCTCAGATTCGGTGACGACGGCTGCCGCAGCGAGATCTGATCCGATGGCCGAAATGTTCTGCTCGGCTGCTCGGCGGCGAGTTATGGGCCGTTGATTCGCGGTTATAGAAGCGGTAGATGCCGACATTCGAAGGTTATGAGCGGTTGAGACTGAATCTGAGTGAATCTTCTTGATTAGATTGTAAATTCGAACGATGGAAGAACCCTAGAAAGTGAAAGAGGGAAATAGAAATGAAACTGGAAAGCTCATTCGATGGAGGAAAAGATGTGACTTGTGAGTGTACTCTTGTTCAGAAAAAAAAAATAAAAAAAATAAAAAATACTCTTGTTAATTTATATATTTATGAAAGTCCATGTAACTTTTTTTACTAATCAAAGTTTGCAAATGCGGGAATATTACAAAATAAAACTAGAGAAAATAGTGAATTGGAATAGAGGTTTGACCAGTTCAATGAACTAACTTATTTGATAAACTAGTACGCCTACATACGTGATGATATAGGGGTCAGTAATAAATAAATAATTTTATATTATTTATTTATTTATTTATTTATGTTATCTTTCAATTATTATTATTATTATTTTTTTTTTTTATCGATTGTCTTTCAATTATTAATGATATAAAGATAAATTCTTAAGCACTCAAAAAATCTAACGACATTTATTCTTAAACGGAGTAAGAAGATAATAAAGAGTAATCATCATACAAATTAATATTGGAAAAGAAAATGAGTCGATGAGACGATATCATGCCATTCGATGGCTCCATAAAATTATTGTTACAAATCGATGAATATAAAAATAAATAAATAAATAATATAAAAATTAAGAAAGTAATAGAAAAAAATAAAGTTTCATCTTCCAAATAATTAAAAGTAAAGAATATAAAAGAATATTATGCATATGAAAATAACAAAAAAATGTAGTCACGAAAATTTTAATATTAGAATTTCATATTTTAAAAGTAATAGTGAAATTAAAATAATTGCAACTCGTTCTTATTTCAAATATAGTATTACGTATTTAATACCTCGTTTTCAATTATTGTTTTCGACAACAATTGCAACTTGTTCTTATTTAAAATAATTGCTTTCGTTTTTTTTATCAGGCTGTCAAGTAATTTTTTTTTTAAATCGAATAATCTCGTTTTATTTTTTTATTTAACGAGCAATATTTGTTGAAGTTTGTTCATCAAAAATACCTCATTTTCATGATTTGATTAACGTATAAAACTCCATTCACTACTTTAGATTAAATATTATTATATTTCATACTTTTTTATTAATTACTCTTTTTAAAATCAACCAAACATGATTTAATATATAATTTAAACTAAAAAATGTAAAAGAATAAAAAGTAACATGGCCAGGAAATTTAAAAAATGTAAAAAAATAAAAAAATTGAAATAGGCCCACAAAAATTGCACATCCCCATGTCCCAATTGTTGAGGGGGTTATTGTTTATAGATTCAACTAGTTTTTATTTGATTTGATTTTTAACTATAGTTAATTTTGAAAAAAGGTAGTATGGTTAGTTGTTAGTAGATATATTAAAATAATATTTAAATAAAATAATTAAAGTTGGTTTGATGTAAAGTAGAAGAAAAATGATTGGAAGTGATAGTTAGTTAAAATTATGTGAGTGGATGAATAATGAATTAAAGTTGAGGATAGTGAGATTGAGTTAAATTTAAATTTTGATTGATTTTATTTGAGTTGGATTGATAAACAATCGCCTCTTAAAGGATAAAAAATTTAAAATGGGCCCATAAAAAATTAAAAATTGCACAACCCGACGTTCCAAAATTCAAACCTCCCACTCTTTAGTCATATAACTGGCAGGATAAGGTTTATAAATCTGATCAAAAGCTTCCAGATTGGGCCCACTCAACCTCCACCCGGACCTCATCGAGCTACAGCCCGTATCCATCCCCCGCGTCCACGGCCTGCCGCCCAGCGTCGAGACCACCAATGACATCACCATTCAGGACAAACCCCTTCTCCGCCACGCCTTCGATCTCACCCAGCCCGCACTCGAGTCCCTTCTCCGCCACCTGAAGCCCGATCTCATTTTCTTCGACCTGCAGCACTGGCTTCCGGGTCTGGCCCGCCGCCTCCGGATCAAGTCCGTCCACTACAGCGTAGTCAGCCCAGCGTCCATGGGCTTCTTGTTCACCGAGGGCCCAATAACTGAACGCAGCCCACCGGGCTACCCGCCGTACATGAAGTCCTACAAGCACGTTGCCCGTGATTTCCATCACATCGAGACGGTTAAAGAACCCGGCAGCGGCATATCTATAAAACAGCGGCTGGTGACGGCAATCCGCGAGAGCAGCGCCGTTGGATTCAGAACGTGTAAAGAGATCGAGGGGCGTTACTGTGAGTTCCTTGAGAAGAAGCTCAAGAAGCCAATTCTACTGACAGGCCCAATCGTGCCAGGCCCCCAATCGTCGGCCCAAGACGAAAAATGGGCCGACTGGCTGAACAAATTCAAGCCCAAATCAGTCGTGTTCTGCTCGTTCGGCAGCGAGGCCGTTCTAAGCAAGGCCCAATTTCAGGAACTCCTCTTAGGGTTCGAGCTGGCCGGTTTCCCGTTTCTAATCGCACTAAGGCCGCCGACTTCGGGATCGGGCAGCTTGGAAGAAGCCCTGCCCGATGGATTCGGGCAGAGGACGAGAGATAGAGGGACTGTACACGTCGGGTGGGTCCCACAGCAGGTGATACTGAACCACCCGTCGGTCGGGTGCTTCGTGACGCACTGCGGGTACGGGTCGATGTGGGAGGGGCTGATGAGCGGCTGCCGGCTGGTGGTGCTGCCGCACGTGGCCGATCAGTATGTGCAAGCGAGGCTGCTGAGTGGGGATCTGAAAGTGGCTGTGGAGGTGGAGAAAGGGGACGAGGATGGGCTTTTTACCAAGGATGGTGTGTGTGGGGCCATAAGAGCGGTTATGGCGGACGAGAGCGGAGTTGGGAAGGAGGTGAGAGAGAATCACGATAAGTGGAGGAGGTTTTGGCTGAAAGAGGGGTTTGAGGATGCTTGTTTTGATAAGTTTGTCGATAATCTGTACGCCCTTCTTCTCAAGTAAATTTAGTCCGAGTGCCCAAGTGTAATAAAGGCTTCATGTGTGTTCATGTTGAGATGAAGCTCGTTGCTGTTATTTTCATTTTGCATTCTATGTTCTTGAATTTTACTCTTTTGCCCTTAGTTGCTATTTCACTTGTATTCTCGCATTTTATTTGGTGTGTTTTTAGAGTTGGATATAGCAACTCAGCCGCGGGTTGGTTTCACGTGTTTTTGTGTGCTGAATAAATCATTGTACTCCTTCCTCATTTTATGAGACTAGTAAAGTACACGTGCGATGCACGTTGTATCGAATGATTTTTGCAGAGTAAATTTGTAAAATAAATTAATTTATTTATTAAATATATCATTCCAGGAATGAAATAAAATATAGAACAAATGGATTCACATGTGATTTTTTTATTTAGAATTAACATAATGATGTCTTAATATAAAAAGAGTGAAATAACGTTTTACAACTCCCAACTAAAATATACGAAAAACAAATCCTTAATACAAAAAATACTAATATTTTCTTTCAATCTTTCTCATAAGAAACATTCATACTCGCTAGAGTCCAATACATCAATACTATTGCAAAATTCCTCTTAATTCATTTGGCAAAATTAATGCTAATTTTATTCAAACACTTAAGAAACATTCTGACCCAACATATAGTCAAACTTCATGATCGTATAATTTTTATAATAAGGTACTTCTACTAACAATGCATAAATATCTCTATGAAATAACTAACTGTGTCATTAAAATTGCTGGTATTTTTTTATCATTGTATAAACTACTACATTCCTCTGTCTCTAGACATATTGGTGCCTACCCCATTGATGCATCGCCCCACGAGGTGGGAATGAATTTTATCTCCAAATAAAAGTTAACTTTCCAAACTTTTGGTTACATGTACTTCTCCCGAGGTGCTAAATTATTTTTTGAAATCATCATACATTACCTGAAAGTACCTCTAAAGTAATTGCACATATGTTCGAGTACAATACACCAATGAGATTATAAATATTTCTATAAAAGGTGACAACTTCATTCGAACATTCAAAACTATTTTGATACTCCGACATTGTTATTTATTTGGAATATAGACGAACAATATAATCTATTATTTGAAATTATTGACCATAATAGTTGTTGCAATGATTTTAGAATTGTTTATCATAATATCTTTCACATTCGTTTGAATATGTAATATTTGTGTGTCTAATAACTTATTTAATGCTTTTATTGTCCAACATTATTCATCATACAAAATGATTATAAAATTCAAGATCAAGATCATTTATTTATTCTCCAACAATGACAAAACAAAACAATCAAAACAATGAGAAAATATTGAGAAGCATATCATTTGTTAAAATATTTGATAGGAGAAGAATATTACGATACTCTTAGTCATCTGCAAAATTTATTATTATGAAGTCATGATTAAAATATACATTATGTATTAGAAATTTTTAGATTTTTTAATTATTTAAAATTAAAAATAAATAATATAGGATCATTATTTATAAAAACCAATATCTCACAGAGTCCATATATTTAAACGCTAGCAACAAAAAAGTAGTAATTTTCAAAGACTTTTTGTTTGTAAATATTGGTATTCATACTTCTTTAAGAAAATTCACACGTATTCTTTTTCTCATTGTGTTACTATTATATTATTTGTTTCTTATTCTATAGAAAAATAATATTTTATTTGCTAAATAATTAAAGCACATTTATATGTTTTGTGTTATTTTTTGTATGTGTTTTATATAATGATGTTTTCAAATTATCTTTTTTATTAGGCTACAATTACTATAATCACATAAGATACAATGTAAATGTAATATATTTGATAAAAATGTACTTTTTATACGGATTATTAGATTAAAAAGTTTACAATTTTTTCTAATGTTTGATAAAATATTAGGTAACTAAGTCATTTTCATAATCACTGAATACATATATGGTACCACCATTATAGGGTTCTTTTTCAAGCAGTAATTGAATAATAGTTTAACGTACAACTCATTTATTTGTCTTTTTAATTCACATAGCTAATATTATCTCATTTCCTTTCTCTGGCCTGGTCTTTTCCTTCTTTTATCTTTGACTTCACTTCGCTTCGCTTCGTTGTACCTAAGGTGCATTCGCCATGATTTCAGCATTACGGCAAACCAGTGTCAAATATATATCGGGAATAGGTGCTCTAGCCAAAACGTGGGA